GTGTGTGTGTGTGTGTGTGTGTGTGTGTGTGTGTGTGTGTGTGTGTGTGTGTATTTAGGGCTGCTTTCTGGAGTTTTATTTTCTTTTGTTTGGGGCATGTTTCCCTGTTTCTTCTTCACTCTAGACTCTTTGTTAGCATGTTAGCAAAAGTATATGCCTCTCCCATTTTTCATGGACCAAGTTTGTACAGAATACTCCCACCACTCTGTAAAGCCAGAGATTCTTGGCCTCTCAAATCTTTTCTGTGTATGTGTATTCTCTGGATTTGTATATGTGTAAATTCTCAATCAGAGGGATCTGCCAGTTTCCCTCCTTTTTCTTTTTAAGAATTTGTGATCTCTTCCTCCCTTTGGTGTCTTTCTGCTATAATATACGTGTTCTGGGACAGCAGCATGTCCTGAGCTCCTCTTTTTTGTTCTTAGTAGCCCCTAGGCATCAAAAGTATGCTGGTTTCTGTCTATACTCTGAGACTGGCCATTCCCTTAGGAAGTCTCCTGAAAAGTTTGAACATTAGGCATATATTTCAGTCTTTTATTTCCATTTCCAGGAGTAAGTCAGGGGCTGGGAGTCTTATCAATCATGTTGTACTGAGCTGGGGAGTAGGGCTGGGTAAGTGAGTGTGTATATTAGCCCAAACCTTCACCTTTGTTCTCTGTGATCCCTAGACATTTAGAGTATGCTGGGTCTCAACATATATCCTAATACTGTAAGAAGGAGATTGGCAATAATGGAAGTTGGAGGGTGGGGAACACATAACATCAATAAGGGCACCCGATCTCAGACCAGGCAAAGTGGAGGCCAAAGGGAGGCCCAAACTTTACCTACGATGACCACTTATGTACCTAACCCTGAACTGTAACCCATATCTTTAAAACAAAAGAGGGCAACCCTCTTTTGGGTCCCCTCCCACTGCCAGAGATTTTCTGTCTTCTTAATAAACTCCTACTTTCTCACTCCCCCGCCCCCTCCAAAAGAGTATGTTGAGTCTCATCAGGGCTCTGGGAGACAGGTGGAATAGAGCCAGTTCCTCAGAAAGTCCCTCAGAAAACTGTAATGTATGCACTGTGAAACTCTTTTCCTCCCCAGGAAGCAGCTCAGATTTGATGTTTATCACCTGCTCACTCCATGCAGAGCTGGGGGAGGGGTTATTATGAGTGCCAGCATGCTATTCAAGGAGCATTATTTGCTCTCACTGGTTTCCAACCAGGGGTCTGTCAGTACTCAGATTCTGGCAAGACAGAAACCAGTCCCATGGGAAGCCCTAAAAAAATCAGAATGTTGGACATTTGGACCGATCCTTTTCTTCCTGCCCCAGGGAGAAACAGGGAGCTGGTGATTTCCTCCCAATTGTGTGGTACTGTTTTGGGGGGAAGAATTATGGTGAGAGAGAGGTCTCAGATTTTCCTACCAGTTACCTGGCTGATTTTATGCTCATGTAGAGTGCAGGCACCTTTCAATTGGTTTCTTGATTTTTCATCAAAGGAGTTTGTCTGTATATTGTTGTTGAATCTTTGTATCTGTTGTGTGAAGTCAAGTCCAAGACTTCCTATTCTGCTATCTCGCTGATGTCATCCCAGTAGTTTAGTCTTAATGCAAAAAAAAAAAAACCAAAAAACTAAAATTCAGAGTACCAAGTAGTTGCTTGAATTCTTGTGTTATTAGTAAGTGAAACTGTGTATTTTTCCCTGTCAGGCTTTTGTGCTTTCTGTACTAATGTGACTAATAAAAGATGGGTAAATTTTCAAAATGCCAGAATGGGGCTTAAATAACATAAAACATTTGCTACAACATTTAACAAACAGAAACCCATTCTTGGTTTGGACGACTGAGTATACATAGTTTTCAAAGCCTAGTGGAAAAAATGGTGAAGAACAGACAAATTTATAGAAAATAAATATTGAAATAATTGTGTGAACGGAGGCAAAACTTTTTTTTGGAAGGGGCTTTTCTTTACATTGGATAAAGTTCATTTGGATGTCTACAGATAAAAGTATTTTGTATTGCTATCTAGTTATCTATGATTTTCAGAGTTGTAAAACAGCTTTCATAAAATCAGAATCAGATAACATAGAAAGGTATGATATGGGCAATTCATAGTTTTCCGCTGAAGGGTAAATTTTTTTCTACAGTAACTTCTATATAAGATGATACTGATAACTGTGAATAATATTTGATTTTTTACAACAGTTTACTCTAAATGGCAGAAGTTAAGGAACAACAGAAAGGATCTCTGTACAGCACGTCAAAAACTAGCTGAGCGTAGTAGCACGTGCCTGTAATTCTGGCTACTTGGAAGGCTGAGGTGGAAGGATTGCTGGAGCCCAGCAGGTCGATGCTGGAATGGCAGTGAGCATGCCACTGCACTCCAGGCTGGGTGACGTAGCGAGACTCCAATTCAAAAAATAAAAATAAAATAAAAATAAAAATGAAAGGAATCATCAGGACTAGGGGAATTTTTCCAAAATTATTCTATTTTGCAGCACTTCCTTGTCGTTCCTATCCTTTGTTCCAAGATAGAAGTAGTAGTAAATATAGTAGTGAACCTCTGAAACATTATATGTTGGAATAATAGCCTCTAAACTTGAACTTTATTTGAATGTTCTTAGAGGACATGGCATACCATTTTCTGATATTGCTTATTGAATCATTAACTGCTGTGTTTAGGTGAAGAAGAAGAAGAGGAGGAGGAAGATAAACTGCCTCGAAGAGAGAGCTTGAGACCAAAGAGGAAACGGACCAGAGATGTTATCAATGAAGATGATCCAGAACCTGAACCAGAGGATGAAGAAACAAGGAAGGCAAGAGAAAAAGAGAGGAGGAGGAGGTTGAAAAGAGGAGCGTAAGTTAGTTCTGATATATAACTGAAAGTGTTATTTTTTTCAAAAGCTCCAGTGCTGAAAGATCACTCCTTTCAGATACTCTTTGACCTTAAAATTGGTAATTAAAACTACAGCCTTAATCTGATGCTGCCATTTTACTCCACTTAATTAAATGTATTTTCATAATTAAAGTAGAATTTGAAAGTGAAAATATATTAAAAATGGACCATGAGAAATTCTCTTATGAAGAATCTAAATTATCATAGGTCATTAGCATAAAATAGATAATTTAAATATTTTAAAATTATTGCATTAATTGTATGATTGTTATCTAGGTTAGGTAGAAACTCCTAAATAATGAGTTCATATCACTTTATCTTACAGAGCAGAGCCTGGCAAATTATAGCTAAATTCAGCCCAGGAGCTAAGAATGGTTTTTACAGTTTTAAAGGGTCATTAATAAAAAACAAAGCTGAATATGGGACAGAGTTGTGTATAGCACTCAAAGTCTAAATTATTAACTGTTTTGGCTCTTTACAGAAAAAAAGAGTGCTGGCTTCTGTTACAGAGAATTCAAGTTGTCACTTTGTTTTTTAATACAGCCCGTTATCTTTCAGTTCCGCCAGGACATCTTACTGAATGCAGACTTTGTGTAGAATCATATATTAAATGCTGTTGAGAAAAAAATCCAGGAAAAGAACATTCTTGTCTTTGCTCTTTGGAAATTTGCAGATAGCAGGCAGGTAGGAAAAGAATGCATATAAAACATACCTAATAATAGAAAATTTAGACTCTTAGGAAAGGATTAAAGAGAACAGCTAACTGGTATCAGTAGCTCAGCCTATAATCCCAGCACTTTGGGAGGCCAAGGCAAATGGATACTGCCTGAGCCAGTGGGTTCGAGACTAGCCTGGTCAGCTTGGTGAGACCTTGTCTCTACAATAAATCAAAAATTAACCGGGCGTGGTAGCACATGCCTGTAGTTCCGGCTACTTGGAAGGCTGAGATGGAAGGATCGCTGGAGCCCAGCAGTCAACACTGGGGTGGCCGTGAGTGTGCCACTGCACTCCAGTCTGGGCAACAGAGTGAGACTCCAACTCAAAAAAGAAAAAAAAAAACAGTCAGCCTATTCCACAATGCACAGGTGATGGGGCCATGTGAATCACCATCTGGTGATGGGATCTCCTGCAAACACTCATGGGAATTTCCATGAAGAACTTTCTAAGATGTCCTCGTAAGATGGCACACTTCAGTACTCAGTAGCTCTATTATATTATTTCTTACACATGATTGTTATTAAAAGCAACTGAATGAAAATTCTGTCAGGTAGAGAAGCTTAGTATTAATAGACAAAGTTCTGTTCATATTAGAATAAGAGTAACCCCATCCACTTCATGTTTTAGTTTATTTAAATTTTTAATTTCCCTTTCTGCTTTCTCTTCCTGTTTCTTTTCTTATTCCTCCTTCTCTTCCTCAAGCTCTTCCTCTTTTGAATACCAAGATGTCATCTGCATTTAAATTTTGACTCCAGTATTTTCTATTTGTATCTCATTTTTAAGAATCTTTATACTTCATGCCTTTCAAAAATAAAATGCAACACAATTTTAATTCTTGTATATTATTATTATTATTCGTTCTATTTTCATGTAGTCACTACTAGCAATGTTTATGCTTTCTGACAGTAGTATTTCATTGAGAAATCTTCACCAATAGTCAAATATATGCATGGTATAGGTTGTTACAAAATTTGCTTTTTCTCTACTTATGCTTCAGAAATATCCTTTTATAAAGGTGTATTGGAAAATGCAAAAGATGAAATCACAACTGACACAAAAGAAATACAAAAGATTATCAGATACTACTATGTACACTTGTATGGAAACAAACTTGAAAATCTAAAGGAAATGGAGGACTTTCTGACATCACACGATGTCCCCAGATTGAAACAAGAAGAAATCGAGACCCTAAAAAAACCAATAACAATTCAGGAAATTGACCATGCCATAAGAAAACTACGTACAAAAAGAAAAAAAAAAAAAAAAAGCACTGGACCAGATGACTTTTCAGCAGATTCTACAAACATGCAAGGAGGAACTGAAACTAATCCTATTTAAAGTATTCCAGGCAATTGAGAAAGATGCAATGCTCCCTAAATCATTTTATGAAGCTAACATCACATTGATACCCAAACCAGGTAAAGATCCAACAAAAAAGAGAACTACAGGCCAATATCCTCGATGAACATAGATGCTAAAATTCTCAACAAGATCCTAGCAAACTGGATTCAACAACACATCTCAAAAATCATCTACCACGACCAAGTAGGCTTCATCACTGAGATGCAGGGCTGGTTCAACATTTGTAAGACCATAAACATAATTAAATACATCAACAGATGTAAAAACAAAAATCACATGATTTTATCAGTAGACGCGGAAAAAGCTTTTCATAAAATCCAGCACGGTTTCTTTTTTTTTTTTTTTTGAGTGGAGTCTCACTCTGTCACCCAGACTGGAGTGCAGTGGCCACTCCCGGCCACCGCAGCCTCGACCTGCTGGTCTCTGGCAATCCTTCCACCTCAGCCTTCCAAATAGCAGGAACTACAGGCATGCGCTACCACACCTGGCTAATTTTTTTGATTTATTGTAGAGATGAGGTCTCGCCTGCCCAGGCGGATCTTGAACCCGTGGGCTCAGACAATTCACTTACCTCAGCCTCCCAAAGACACGGGATTACAGGTTGAGCCACCGAGTCCGGCTCAGTATACTTTCTTGATAAAAACCCTTGAATACCTAGGCATAGATGGAACATACCGCAAAATAGCAAGAACCATCTATGAGAAACCCACAGCTAGCATACTCCTAAATAGACAAAAATTGGAACCATTTCCCCTGAAAACTGGAACAAGACAAGGATGCCTACTCTCTCCCCTCCTGTTCAATATAGTGTTGGAAGTCCTGGCCAGAGCAATCAGAAAAGAGAAGGAGATCAGGGGTATCCAAATAGGAAAAGAGGAAGTCAAGTTCTCTCTCTTTGCAGACGACATGATTGTGTACCTTGAAAACCCAAGAGAATCTGTCAAAAGCCTCCTTGCACTGATAAAGGACTTTGGCAAAGTCTCAGGGTATAAAATAAATGTGCAAAAGACAGTCTCATTTCTATACACCAACAATAAACAAACAGAAACCCAAATAAAAAGCACAATCCCATTCACAATAGCCACAAAACAACCCTCAAATACCTTGGCATCTTCCTAACCAGAGACGTGAGAGACCTTTACAATGAAAATTACAAAACACTGCTCAAAAAAATTAAAGATGACACAAACAAATGGGAAAATATTCCATGCTCATGGATTGGAAGAAAACATTGGTAAGATGTCCATCCTATCTAAGGCAATCTACATATTTAATGCAATACCCATTAAATTACCAGCAGCATTTTTCTCAGACCTGGAAACTATAATACAGAAATCCATATGGAAACATAAATGACCATGAATAGCCAAAACAATCCTCAGCAAAAAAAAAAAAAAAAAAAAAAAAAAAGCAGGAGATATCACACTCCCAGACTTTAAACTTTATTATAAAGCTACAGTAATCAAAACTGTCTGGTTTTGGTACAAGAACAGGCATATAGACCAATGAAACAGAATAGAGATTCTAGAAGCAAAACCTCAATTTATCAACCAACTCCTCTTTGACAAAGCCTTCACCACCAACCACTGGGGAGAGGAGAACCTATTCAGTAAATGGTACTGGGAAAACTGACTGACCACATACAGAAGATGAAAACAAGACCACTACCCATCACCGTATACAAAAATAAACTCTAAATGGATAAAAGACCTAAACGTAAGATCTCAAAATATAAGAACCTTAGAAAATGCAGGAGACACCCTTTTGGAAATTGGAACTGGCAACCAATTCCTGATCAAAACCCCAAGTGCCCATTCCAAAAGAGATAAGATAGACAAGTGGGACCTCATCAAACTGACAAGCTTTTGCAAAGCCAAAGAGACCATCAAAAGAGTGGGGAGACAGCCCACAGACTGGGAAAAAAATATTTGCCAACTGTATGTCTGACAGAGGCCTAACATCTAGGATATACTAGGAACTCAAACATGCCAAAAAGAAAAAAGCAAACAGCCCCATTACAAAGTGGGCAAAAGAAATGAATAGATGGTTCTCAAAAGAAGACATATGAGCAACCAACAGATACATGAAAAAGTGCTCAACCTGAGTAGTCATCAAAGAAATGCAAATTAAAACTACACTGAGATACCACCTAACTCCAGTCAGGATGGCCATCATCAATAACTCAAAAAACAACAGATGCTGGAGAGGATGGGTGAAAAGGGAACACTTCTACACTGTTGGTGGGAGTGCAAACTAGCACAGCCTCTGTGGAAGACAGTGTTACGATTCCTAAAAGATCTAAAAATCGGCCTTCTATATGACCCTGCAATCCCCCTACTGGGAATATAACTGGAAGAACTCAAATCACTCTATGAAAAAGATATATGTTTATCGCAGCATTGTCCACAGTAGCAAGAACATAGCACTAACCATACTGTCCATCAAAAGAGAACTGGATTAAAAAAAAGTGGTACATATACATGATGGAATATTACACAGCCGTAAATAAGAACAAAATCATGAACTGCACAGCAAAGTGGATGGACTTAGAGTTTATAATACTGAGTGATATATCACAGAAACAAAGAACTACATATCCATGTTCTCACTCTTAAGTGGAGCTTGAACAATTATTGTTATAGTATAAGAAAAGGATTGGCAGTAGAGGAAAACTGCCGGGGGAAGGGGCATTGGGATTGGCAGTAGTTGGAATCTGCCAGGGGAGGGGAGACACATCTCATCAACAAGGGTACCTGCGTAATGAACATTGGTATACCTAACCCTGAATTGTACTCCACACCTTTAAAATAAAAAAAATTAAAAGAGGAACCCCCCCCCCCGAGAAAAAAACAGAAAAAAAAAAAAGGTGTGTTGAGCAGAAATTCTACTGTTTTGATCTCCTTAGGGGCTTATATCAACTTCTAGGAAACAGGGCCATGTAAACCAGTTGGGTCCTGATTCTGTTTCAGTTTTTCCCACTTTCATTCTGATTTTGAGAAGCCCCCAAGCACCCGGGACCTTCCTACATTTCACTCTTATACAGAACCAAACATTGTCTCAATAGGTTTTGCAAATTATATTATTGCCACAGTTTGTACATCTGTTCTAAATAGCATCATAAATTGTGAGGATTGATAGTTCCGGTTTTTTTTGAGTCTATTTTCTATTGTTCACTTTAAAGATAAGCATCTTTTTTTTTTTTTTTTTTTAAGAAAACATATTAGCAAATATATTTCAAACAAGATTAGTACGCAAATCGGGCACATTTATATTTAGGTTAATTAATTCAGGATCTTTTAAATTTAAATTTCAAGCAATGCTTCAGGGAATTTCCCTCGCATTGACACATTTGAAACCAACTAAAACCGAGGTTGTAATGCTAACTATCTTTGGAGACAGTTAAAAAAATACTGCCTTGTTAGACCTTTTGGAGTATTTCCAGTAATATTACAGGCTTTTCCTGACCCAGTTTTAAGTGAATAAGTAATATATTCATAGCAGTGAGAAATTCAACATATTATGCCTTCTTCTTCCTAACAACTGTTGTTTAAATAAATGAAACTTAAGATAGAAGCCTTTCTTGCACAAATTAGCCTGAAATTTTAGAAAATGAAGCATGCCTACACTGTATCTTTTTAATATGATTAGCCCTTTCTTTGAGTGATTCTAGAAAAGCAGATTCCCTGTAACGCTGATGAGACTAATAATTTAATTACCTGCATATTTAAGGTAACTTAACTGTCAACAACTGTACTCTGTAGCACAGGATGAACCTCCAGAGGAAATAAAAAATTAACAAAAAGACTTAAAAAATATACCAATCAGGGATCACTTAGTGTAGGAATGAATGTCTTTCCATACAGTGATAATTTTGGAGGGCATTCTTATGTTTTAGTGCAATTTGAGCACTGGCTTCATGATAATAACCTGAGTCAACTAGAAAAATTATCTGCATATACATTTATTCAATAAATATTTATCCAGTTCCATTTCTGTGAGGCTAATTTGCTAATTTCTTTGAGAACTTGAATATGAATATGCAAATATCTGCAATCTACCAAAATCCATAATATAGTAAGGGAATGGCACCTAGGTACAAATTATTATGAAATAAGACAGCATATATGTACCAGAGAAGATGTACAAAGTAGTTTGGTGTTTCAGAGAGGTGAAAACTCTTCTCAGAGGGATAAATAGAAAAGGGATTATTAAAAACATTTCATGACTTTTAAAGGAATCAGATTTTGGTTAGATTAAACATATAAAGAATTTAATTCATGTTAGAAAGATTCTCATTAAGTGTTTTCTAAAAGTTGGCATGCAGGTTTAGTTATATGGTAAACTCACACATCAAATTGATCATGTTTTCATTCTCTGATGGTGCTGGATTAAATGAGATACTGTTTTATGTATGATTCTTAATGAAAGTTAAGTAATGCAAAACTTTAAGGTACTTATATGTAAATATCATGAGTTATTTTCAAAGGATGGCAAGTTAAAGGCTTAAATATCAAGCAATTGATATTTTAAGTTATTAATCTTAAAGCCTTTTTTGTTTTCTTATTGACTCCATTATCAATAATTTCTTGGCGTCTATTTTATTTTTGCTAGTTCCCTGAAGTATTTCAAGTCTATGTAATTTGGAATTATCTATGTTTGCAGAGAAATCATTTTAATCATTTTTATTAAAACATACCTTCCCCTCCTACAACAAAAATAAGTAAAAAATAAAGACATAAATAGACAGACCAACCCACATACCATTCTTTTTTCCCTTTTTTAACTTGTATATTTCTTGTACAACGAGCCTATATATCATTCTAATTGACAAATTTTTTAAAAAGTTGAATATAGATGTAGCAAAAAAAATTATGAAGTATTTTATGCTATGGTTGTACAGCACCATAGGCTTTATATAATAAACTCCAAATAATTAAAACAGAAACAACTCAATGGCAATTACAGCTGTATTTAGTAGAGTGAACTTACGTAGTTCTTATGAATCAGCATTAGTATTCTAAGGAAAATATGAATTGCCTAATAAACAAACTGTCAATATAAGGTGTTATTTTAAAGGGTTAATGTGAATTTTTGTTTCAGTATTCATGGGATGGTTAAAAACTATGGGCCAGGTACAGTGGCTCATGCCTGTAATCCCAAAACCTTGAGAGGCTGAGGCAGGAAGACTGCTTGAGCCCAAGAATTTAAGACCAGCCTATGCAACATAGGGAGATTTATTTCACAAAAAATTAAAAAATTAGCCAGTCGTGGTGGTGTGCACCTATAGTCCCAGCTACTTGGCAGTCTGAGGCAGAAGGATTGCCTGAGCCCAGGAGGCTAAAACTGCAGTGAGCCGTAATCGTGCCACTGCACTCAAGCCTGGGCAACAGTGAGACTGACTCAAAACAACAAAAATAAGTAAAAAATAAATACATAAATAAATACTGTGGCTTGGTGGCAAAGAATGGAGATTGAAAGTTATTTTGTCAGAGGGGCTATACAACTATAGCCCATCCTGTTCTTTAACTAGAACTTTAAAAAATAGTTTTTCTGACCGGGCTCGGTGGCTCAGCCTGTAATCCCGCGCCTCTGGGAGGCTGAGGTGAGTGGATTGCCTGAGTCCATGGGTTCGAGACCCGCCTGGGCAGGTGAGACCTCATCTCTACAATAAATCAAAAAATTGGCCGGGCGTGGTAGCACATGCCTGTAATTCCAGCTACTTGGAAGGCTGAGGCAGAAGGATCGCCAGAGCCCAGCAGGTCGAGGCTGCGGTGGCCGGGAGTGGCCACTGCACTCCAATCTGGGCGACAGAGTGAGACTCCAACTAAAAAAAAAAAAAAAAATTCTTTTTACTGGCCATATGCAGCGGTTCAGGCCTATCATCTCAGCACTTTGGGTCACTGAGGTAAGAGGTTGCCTGAGCCCTCGGGTTAGAGACCAGCCTGAGAAACTTGGTGAGACCTCATCTCTACACTAAATCAAGAAAAATTAGCCAGGCATGATGGCGTATGCCTATAGTTTCAGCTACTTGGAAGACTGAGTTGGAAGGATCACCTGAGATCAGCAGGTGGAGGCTGCAGTGGCCGTGAGTGTGCCACTGCACTCTAGCCTGGGTGACACAGTGAGACTCTGACTCAAAAAAACAATAATAATAATTTTTGTCATATACCTACTGTGTCTAGTCACAAGCTTAGTGAAGAACAAATGTGTTTCTAACTAAGACTGACATGGATTACAATTTCTGTATCAGTCAGGGTTAGTGAGGAGAGAAACTTCAATAGTTAACTGAACAGAGAAAATTTTGAAAGAGAAGAGTTAGGAGGTATAAATAATTGTTAACTAGGCTACTGAAAAGGCAAAAAGAAAACATCAAAGTATCATGGTGATAGTACCTACTTTCAATAGATACCATCCCAAGGATGAAGGAACAATGGAAAGGGTTGAAACGAAAACCTTGAAGTTTAGAGGAGAGACCCATAGAGCTGGGCCTCGGCAGAGGGACTGATGCTCAGCCTTTCTGGCTTCTATGGAAGAGGTGATGAAGCTGGTTCTGTTAGTATTGGAAACATTAGTAAACTGGATTTACTTGTAATTATGGTAAGGACTCTCAGGTCTGGGAGTGAAGAAGTATGGCTAAGGAGGAGGTGTCATCCCAGGAGCAAATAGGGAGCAGACAGCAGGCCAAGGAAAAAAACAAAAACCCTTTTTGGTTCAAGGCTAATACTGAGCCAACTGACAAGCAGAAATATGACTTACAGAGTTCCAACCCCACCAATATTAAGTATAGAAGGATGTGTTTGAAATTAGGAGAGAATGGCTTAAGAAAGGAAACAATTGATGACCAAAAAACATGACCTCTACAACATGGTATTATATTCCTTGATTTAAAATTAAGTTGCTCATGCTTAGATTTTTTTTTTTTTTTTTTTTTTAGTTCTGGGTCTTATATTATTTTTGTAATACTAAGAACACAGAAAAGATACGTCCTATGCTCAGTGGAACTCAGTTCCTTTGAAGGTCTCTTCAAAGGATCCACTTTCACCAAATATATTTCAATTGAATTTTATCAATTGAAGTTAAAGGTTTAATTAACAGATTAAGTTACCTTTGAGAAATAGATTTTTATTTTTCCCTACTTCAGTTTTCTTCTCTTTTTCTTGAGACAGGGCAAACAAAGTTTTAAGGGTACTTCAAAGACATCCTCACCTCTAATTTATTATCCTTATTGAAAAATAAAATATTTAAATGAAATGTGGACTTGGTGGGGGAAGGTATACCAGGGAATAGAGAAGAGGAGGCTGTATCATGTTAGTTTGTAACTATTCTTTCCACAGATTTTCTACTTCTGAGAGTTTGAGGCTCTGGACATAAAAGGAGTGCTTAGTTCAGGATGTCAGAAGGCAAACACTATTGTTTAAAGTTATGCTAATTCCAGTAATATCACATCAGTGTTGAGATACAAGTTCTAGTGGTTATAGGTCTTAGCATTGACTGGATACAGCCAAGTCAAAAAATTGAGCAAAATATCTGATATCAGTCTTCCTTAAGTTTGGAAGTCAAGCAGAGCTTAACTTTATTACGAGTTTTCTTTTTGTCTTTTAAAGGGAAGAAGAAGAAGAAATTGATGAAGAGGAATTGGAAAGACTGAAGGCAGAGTTAGATGAGAATAGACAAATGATTGCTACTGTGAAATGCAAACCTTGGAAGATGGAGAAGAAAATTGAAGTTCTCAAGTATGATGCCACTTTTTATAAGTAGAAATGCTTTCCTTGATATTGATCTCTTAAATCCTCTGAGCATTACCTATATAAATATTATATATGTGATATATAGGATGATATATAGATAATACTATATATGTCACATATATAAAGTATTAAAATATATAGATTACTCATTACATGTAATGTTCACAGTGATATAAACATCGATATCATGTAACTGCATATTTACATATATACATATAGTATACAAATATATGTCTTTAACACTAGAGAGACCAGGCTAATGATTATAGGTTTGAAAACAATGATTAGAAATTGTTTGAGGTCTTAAAACTTCTGTGGTCATTTTAAATCATTTGTTCCTTAAACAGGAGTTTTCTTAGTTTAATACATTCATTACCATCTCTCTGAGAGAATATATTTAAATTTTACAGGTCTGTGTAGATTGTACACTCTTGTTTCTCTGCAGGGTCCCCGTCTCAAATGATCTTTTCATGTGACAGCTCACATTAAAGTGCAGGGAGGATGCTAAGCCAACAGAACAGTAGATAGGATTCCAATTAAAGGTTATGCTAATAGCTATTCCCTGAACATGCCAGTGACCCAGTTTCAGCCTTATGTGACTGTTGATGTGGGTGCAAATGCAGTCAGAGCACACTGATTTATAAACTCCTTGTATGCAAAGTCAAAGGATTATCCCATTCAGGGGGATGGGAACAGATTCACTATGTTTTCCTGCCCTGGTGATTGGAGGAGAAGATGACATGAAAAAGGGAATGTGTTTGTGATCACAGCCACATTTGCATCTCTCAGTTTTGTCACAGATTGCGTTTTTTTACAAACCATTTTTATAAATAATGGTAAGTATCCAAAATGATTCCCCAGTGAGCCTATTTAACTAACAATGCTGTATCAATGGTAGTATAGCATAATTGTCTCTGATGAAGAAAAAAGAACTAAAATAACTATCAGGACAACTCACTTCTAACCTCGGTCCTGCAAAAGATGTGAGTTATTTTAAAAAAAACAAAAAACAAAAAAACTCAACCTCCCGATGCCTCAGTTACTTCATCCAAGATAAAGGAAGATATTCTATATCTTTCCTATGTGCTTGGAACCTAGTCATCATTTGTAACATTTTTGTTTTGTTTTGTTGAGTAAGATTTTCTATGCTTCAAAGAATGGTTTTCCCTGCAAACTTTTGCAACACCACAAAATTGTAGTGTGGGATCTCCCTGGACACGCACATGTTTGCACCCACCGTGAATGAAGGCAAAGACAAGCAGCATCCTAAGTTCCACAGAGCTACCAGTCTGTGTGTGTATGTGTGTGCATGTGCATGTTTATATATGTTAAAACAGTTTTTGTTTAATGAAGTGATGATGCTAAATTATAGGTTTTAAAAATATTCTTACTTGGCAAAATGGAATTTGGGTAACGCTATGCTGGTCCCCCCCAAAATATTTGGAATTTTTTTCTTTTTTTTGAGGTGGGCTTTCATTCTGTCACCCAGGCTGGAGTGAAGTGGCACGATCATGGATCACCTCAGTCTCAACCTTTTGAGCTCAGGCAACCCTTCCACCTCAGCCTCCTGAGTAGCTGGGACTATAGGTACACATCACCATGTCTGGATAATTTTTAAGATTTTGTGTAGAGATGAGGTCTTGCTATATTGCTTAGGTTGATCTTGAACTCCTGAACTCAAGCAATCCTCCTGCCTAGTCCTCTCAAAGTACTGAGACAACAGGTGTGGGACACTGTGACTGGCCTATTTTGAAGTACTATTAATGGTCCATGAAATCCCCAAACTAGGGAACCACAGATGACTGTATATAGAAAGCTGTAAAATTGGAAAGTGATTTTTTTGAGCTTCCAAAACTTAGAATTGAATAAAAATCTCAAGGCATGCGTTTTTTAACTGCAAGGAGGTGGAGAAATACCCACTCTCCCTTGCCTGCATCTGTCACGCATTAAAATGGAGTAGGTATGGACTTCAGACTTGAGTTAGAATCTCAGATCTTATGTTTAATAGCTGTGCAAATATGAGCGAGTTATGTAGTACTTTTAACCTCAGGTTGCTTATGAAATTATGCCTTAGTGGCAGGGATATTGGGATTACAAAGTGAGACAACTTATATAAAACACTTAGTGTGGTACTGGAACACAACATAACTGGGAAACTCAAGTTGTAATTGTTTCAGTTCAGAACAAATTCGATAATGCCTGATTCCCTGAAGGGTGACAGGAGAGAGGGATGGAGTTTGGGACCTGGTGGACTGGGTAAGAGCAAATCCAGCCATAGACAAACCTCAGGAGTCTTGTGTGATGGTGACACATTGGTAGTAGTTTGGATAAGCAATCCGATTTTGAGGCTCCAACAAAAGGAAGTAGGGCATTTAGTAATTTGGCAGAATTCAGGGCCAGACCATTCTTTTTGAGTTAGAGTCTCACCCTGTTGCCCAGACTGGAGTGCAGTGGCCGCTCCCGGCCACCGCAGCCTCGACCTCCTGGGCTCCGGCGATCCTTCCGCCTCAGCCTTCCGAGTAGCTGGAATTACAGGCATGTGCTACCATGCCTGGCTAATTTTTTGATTTATTGTAGAGATGAGGTCTCACCTGCCCAGGCGGGTCTCGAACCCGCAGGCTCAGGCAATCCACTCACCTCAGCCTCCGAAAGGCGCGGGATTACAGGCTGAGCCACCGAGCCTGGCTCAGATCATTCTTAGATCTTTTAAAATGTACCCTCAGGGTAGTCTTGTGGCAGATTCTAAAACTTGAGGCCTTGATCTGGAGTCCAAGAACTAAAGTTTTTAGAAATGGGGAGAGATAGACACTAGCATTGGAAAGAAGAGCAATACCAGGCCAGAGATGGAAAACGGGGAGTCTACAACTGAATCTAGAGTGTAGGTAGTTTTTTATTTGACCTATGTGTTTTGTTTCTTTTTCTTTTTTTAATTCTTGGTTGGTTGGTTGGTTGGTTGGTTGGTTGGTTGGTTGGTTTGAGTCAGGGTCTCACCCTGTTACCCAAGCTGGAGTACAGTGGCACCATCACAGTTCATCACACAGCCTCAAATTTCTGGGCTCAAGGCAATCCTCCCACCTTTGTCTCCTAAGTAACGGGGACTACAGGCACATGCCCAGCTAATTGTTTGACTTTTTGTGTGTAGAGATGAGGTCTCACTATTTGCCTAGGCTGGTCTCAAACTCCTGGGCCCAAGTATTCCTCTTGCTTTATCTTCTCAAAGTGCTGGGATTATGGGTATGAGCCACTGAGCCCGGCCCTCTTTTATTTTTTCTGTGATCAAATATTTTTACCAAAACTTACCATTTTAACCATCTTATACAGTTTATAATAATAATATTTTCGTCATTCTTTTAAGAGTGGAGGATTTTACATTAAAATAATCCAGATGTTCAGCTTCTCATGGACAAGTGAAAGGTTTAGTCTCATATTCCTACATAACAGTAACAGCTGGGACTAAGCAACTGCCCTCTTAGTTTGCACAATTTCCAAAACAGTCTACATTGCTTGTTTATGCTGCTTGGCAGGACCTTGCAGGCATTCGAATGTGCTGCCACTTACCAGTACAGCTGGAGGGCAAGCTGGGCGTGTTACCAAGACAGTGATTCAGACCTACAAAGCCAAAGTCAGCTCACGGAATGGAAGCACAAATGCAGACTCAGAGAAGAAACAACTGTGGTTTCTCACTTGTCAGGAAGGCTCACCATCTTGTGATGATTTTCCACATCCAGAAGTGGTTTCTGCTTTGTGGCTGCACCTGTGGGTTCCAGCTGGTGCCAGTGGTCATGGCTAGCCTAATTCTCTTGGTTTCAGCGTCTGTGATTACTCATACTGGTGTGTCTGACTTGACTCCCTTTGTAGGTTTTTGAATGCTGTTTTGAGTTTTTCTCCCACAGACTCCAACTACATTATTAGAACAACTGGTCAGTACACTATAGTACATAGAGGTAAATATTTCTCTATTCCAATGTTACCAATGCATGGGAGTCAGGCAGCTTTCCCTCCACCCTTTATTTCTTTCAGAGACATCGAACTCTAAGAGTGTTTCTAAGGATTATGTTAGTCCCAGAATTAGCCTCTAGTCATTGCTCCTGGCTAAGTCTATGAAACCCAAGATACTAGACTCAATATAACCGGAAAAGATGTTTTGATCATAGGTTTGGATCTGTGTTTGGGTTCCAAGGCCACAACCTTATGGTTCTCGACTCGGAAAAACTTGCGAAGCTTCTAGAACAGGGTTTAGAGAGGGTCAGGGCTTTAGGATACATTTTAGAGTAAAGCCTCGAAAATAGTGGCCTATGGTTCTGAGGATGTTGTGGGAGACTCAGGAATAGTTCTCACATTTTTTTTAATGATGTGGCCCAAGCTGGTCTCAAACTTTAGCTCAAGCAATCCTCCTGCCTCAGCCTCCCATAGTGCTGGGATTATAGGAGTAAGCCATTGTGCCTGGCAGCTCTTACATTTTTATTTTTTTTTCATTTTTAATTTTAAAGATGTGGGGGTACAATTCAGGGTTAAGTATACAAATGTTCATTAAGCAGGTACCCCTGATGAGGTGTGCCCCCTTTCCCCTAGTAGAATCCCACTACTGACAATCCTTCACCCCCCCACCTGGCAATTTCCCACTACTGCCAATCCTTTTCTTATAGCATTACAATAATTGTTCAAGGTCCACTTATGAGTGAGAACATGTGATACTCAGTTCTTTGTTTCTGTGATAGATCACTCAATATTATAGACTCTAAGTCCATCCAAGTTGCTGTGAAGTTCATAATTTTGTCCTTCTTAATGGCTGCATAATATTCCATTTTAAAAATCCAGTCCTCTTTAGATGGTTCTTACATTTTTAAAGAACATTTACCACTAGGGCTCAGGATCAAAAGACAGTTCATATAAACAGTGGCTATATAGTCAAGAGGCTCTAGAAATTGGTCTTGAATCTATATGAAATCTCCAATGTGGCTCAGAAACTGGAATGCAGCATTTTC